AAAAAAAAAAAAAAAAAGAAAAATGCAAGTACCTGTAATACTATCATATGGCACCCAGGTAGGCATAAAACAAACTTCAATGTATACAGAGTAAATAGTACAATTTTCAGTTACTGAGGTCGTTTTTTTCCTTCCTGGTGTACTAGAACTGGCTTTACCATTTAATATCTTTGCAATCTTTCCCACCTGAGTTTAAGTCAAACTATTTAGGTTGTGTTCATAGTTACTCCCTTTTTGTCTGACTGAGAGGATTTTCCCTGTATTTTCCCATTCTTACCATCGAACTCTGGCAGTCTATAACAACTACATGGCGAAGATGTTATAGCAAAGTAAGTCCAAACTTAATGGGCTGAGTTCCCCTGAACATCACTGTAAATTTGTTGTTTGGAACCTGGAATTTATTTACCCATGGAAATAGTGGTAAATTCCCAGTGGGTCTACAAAAGCTTGCTTAGCCAGGAATATAGCAGAAATGAACACTGTCACCTTTGTGTTAACCTCTACCTATTATTCTGAGGTCTCAATGGATTTCTCTCCTTACTTCAATGTTTTAGCTAACCACCACTTTTGGGACAGTTTTTTTCATTATATGGAAAAGGCTATTACTTCTGATTCCACCACCCAATTGTTCATACTGCTTTGGGGTGTTTCTTTTTACTAATAATTCCTGAAAACATGACTTAAGTTGGAGGGTTGTTTTCCTTTTTCCAAAATTAGAAGTCAGTAAAATAGCCCAAGAATGCCTATGGTATACAGTGTCTACAATGTCACATTTTCTGCCTGGAGCATGATGAAAAGGCGCACAACACTGACCATCTGGTTCCTGGAGGGTATCTTTTGGCCCTTGTGGGAATTCAAAAACAACCAAAAACCCACTTCTTGGCTTCTGGTATGTAATCAAAGGTCTGACTGCCCCTGATTAGATGTTAGCATTAGGGGGATTACCTGATCAACATAATGTGTGTGTGTGTGTGTGTGTGTGTGTGTGTGTGTGTGTGGTGTGTATGTATGTATTTTTTTGTTGTTGTTTTTAAGACAGGGGCTCACTGTTGCCGAGGCTAGAGTACAGTAGTGCAATCACAGCTCATTGTGGCCTCCAACTCCTGAGATCAAGTGATCCTCCCTCTTCAGCCTCCTAAAGCTTTGGGATTACAGGTGTGAGCCACCACACCCAGCCTTGAATCTTTATTACAGAAATTTCATAGTCAATCTAAAACTGTGATGTGTATGTCTACCAAATACAGTGTTTATCTCAGAAACACTTTCTTGTAACCATAATAAAACCAAAATCTTTGTTTAAGGTAGAAACATTACCAACAAATGTTTCCAAAACAGAAATGCTTTAAAGTGAAAAAAATTTGTGTCTATGGCCATCATAATAGTGTGGCTTT